GCCCCTTCCAGCCTCAGCTCCATCCCCAGGAGCCATCGCACCGGCGTCCCTCCAGCTGGACTTCCCAAATCAACGGAGAAAGACTCCCAATTCCCACCTGCGTCGGGAAATATTCAGCTTCCAAGGCCCAGCTCCCGGGCTCTGAGCTGCTGCGGCCGATGCGTGGCTGCGTGCGAGGTGCTGGCCACGCTGGGTAGCCGAGGGCTCGTGAACGACTCGGGGGCTGCAGGGGCCAAGCTGGGCAGGGGCTGCTGCGGAACGGGGACGCCGAGGTGGGAGGATGTAAGGCAGGCGGGCTCACTCCTGCTGGCCCCATCTCCGAGGCACTTGGCGTGTCGGAGGTCTGGGCCCTTGGGTGAGATATTTGCGTGGCAAGACCTCTCCTCCAGGGCTGGGGCAGTAGCTAAATCCCCTCCCCGCCACATCTGCTCAGCTTGAGCCTCTCTGCCTTCCTCTGCCCGTGGCTGTGGGTTTGATCCTGCCCAGGAGGACAGTGCTGAGGACGGGTGGCTCGACTGGGATGGCGTGACAATGGGCTGAGTGGTGACAATTCAACGGGCAGTGGCATGGCTTGGCCAGCCCTCTCTGCGGTCATGATCCTTTAACCCGCGTCGTTGTCCCTTAGCCTGTTGCTTCCAGCTGGGGCAGGGAGAGAAAACCAAAACCCCAACTCCACCTCTGAGCCGGGGCTGTGGAAAGAGGGACCTACCTTGTTGCAGTTGGCCAGGTGAGCTTTCAGCCCCGAGACGCTGGAGTAAATGGCTTCACAGCACTGCGGGAAGAAACAAAGCAGGGTTTGCCACGATCCCCCCTCGTCTCTGAGCCTTCCTCCACGCCGGGGCCAGGAACCCGCTGCGCCAGCAAGGCCACCGGCCCAGGCTAAGCAGCGTGAGGTTAATGCTCCGCGAGACGCGGAGGGCTCCGGTCACACGTTTCCTATTAGTGCTAATGGGAGTCATGTGGCCACATCCCTCTGCAACGGGCTGAAAAACGTCCTCCCTAAACGTCTCCGTGGAAAACGTACATTTGTGAGCAGTCAGGAGGTCCTGCTGGGCTACAGGAGTTCTTGGAGCCACAGCAGATGCTTAACAGAGAAGAGAAATCACCCAGGCAGCAGCATGACCAGTTTCTGAGCAACATCTTTTCCAAGATGTGCATGACATTAATTAGCAGCGCGTCTCCCCCGGCCTTGCGGTGACGGCCCCGCTCACAACCCCCATTAGCGAGGCTTTGTCTCAGACGATAAATCAGCGGCCCAGCGCGAGGGGGGAGCTCACCTCCCCACCAGCTCAGGCCAAGGCTGTGTTTTGCAGCGAGATGGAGCACACACACCATGTCCCCGAGGTCCTCGCCTGTCCCAGGGCTTTAAAAAGAACGGCTTAAAACCAGCCCCGGCTTTACTCTGGGAAAAGCAGGTTCTCTGCATAAAAAGGCTCTCGAGCACACAGCGTGCAGCCTTCATCCCGTCCGGACCTCGGGAGCTTCCCAAAGGCAGCTCCAGACCCCGCATCGGGCGGCGCTGAACCATCAGGCCAAGGGCACGTGGGGACAGGGTGGCTGGTCCCCGGGCACAGCAGGAGGGGCCCAAAGGTGGGACATGCTTTTGACCAGGCATGGCAGCAGCTCCAGGGAGAGGAGGTGACACGAGGGTCTGAGCATCACCGCCAGCTTCACCTGGGGCCCAAGAAGAACCTGGCTTTGGTGGGTTTCTGCCCCCAAAATTCCCCCCTTCCACCCACAGACCGAGACCAGCCGGCCCAGTAAAGAATGGAGACGGTCCTTACGTTGTTGGGACAGTTGATGTGGCCCTTCTCCTTCACTTCGTTCTTCCAGTTTTCCAGCAGCCTCGGATTGAGCTTTGGAAGCCCCGGTCGGGTGTAATTGAGCTGCAAACAATAGAAGATGATTAGCAGAGCGGCACACACCAGTCTGGACTGTGGTGGAGTCCTTGCTCTTTGCGTGGGTCTTGCCCCCCCCAGGAGAAGTGAATCGGGGCTGAAAACTAGTTGGGAGGCTTCCCCCCGAGATGTCATCTACCCCCCGGGCACAGCACAGTATGAGCGTGGCTCTGCCCGCTGCTGTGCCACTGGCAGGCGGGT